CAAAAGGGTTCAAGATGGGGTGTGATTACATCAAGGATTGACTCTGAGCCCACTCTTGATTGCATGGTGATGTACAAGCTGACAGATGAGGTCAGGAGTCTCTGTGGACTGCGACATTTGCAGGCAACATTGTGATGTGTAATGAGAGTAAGGAGCACATGGAAGAACGTTTGAAGAGGTGGAGGTGGAGAGAGGACAGGAGGAATGAAAGTCAGTAGGAGCAAGCCAGACTGTGTGTGTGAGTAAGAGGGAGACAGGTGGAAAAGTAAAAATGCAAGGAGGTAGATGCGTTTAAACAGGGTGAAAACTGGGTGGAGTAGGTGGAGATGAGTGTCAGGGGCAATTGGTGATGGGGAGATGGCAGCAAGGCTTAAAGGGAAGTTTGGTAGTGAGGCCTGTTATAATGTATGGTTTGGAGACAGAGGCACTGACAAAAAGGAGGTGGCAGAGTTAAGATGCTCAGAATTTTATTGGGAGTGACCAGGATGGGCCTTAAGTCCTTAAGGCGGGCAACTCATCGGGAGTGGTTTGCAGAAGCTTGGAACTTGGAAGTTAGAGGCAAGGCTGAAATGGTTTAGACTTGCACAGAGGAAGGATGGTGGATATATAAATCAAAGATAACGATGGAGCTGCCAGGCAAGAGTACAAGAGAGAAGTTTCATGGATGTAATGAAAGAGAACTCGCAGAGAGTTGGTGTGACAGAAGAGGATGCTGGGCATAGAGTAAGATGCAGACAGATGATTCGCTGTAGCAACCCCTACCGGAAGCACCAGATAGAAGAAAAGAGCAAGATCATATGTATAACATATGTATAACCAGTTTAGTTTTTTTATGTCTGCCTCACTGAAGACAAAACGGTATGCAAATGACCTCTGTAGTCAGTGTGGGTATGTAGCCCCTCTCTCTTCTCAATATAACCACCAGTACTTAACAAACTAAAGGACAAGTTCAAGTTAAACTCTAGGCAGTCAAGTGTTAAGGCGAGGATTGGCTGAGAACATCCAGCAGCTGCTGTCTTGTGGTCATATCCTCACCCTTATCTCACTGTCACCATCTTCTTCCCCTTGTTTCATGTCCTTAGCATGGCCTGATGGAATGAACTTACTAAAGATTGACCCACTTTACAAAGTTGAATTATGCGATTGGGGGT